TCAGCTAATTTGGTGGCTGTTTCCTGGTGTGATGGCTGCCGCAGGAGCGTTTCATGGGTTGGTAAGAAAGTGCGTGTGCGGCGTCCCATCAGTCTCTGTACGGGTGATGTTCCTAGACCCTCTGTTGGGGTGTTGCGCCAATCAAGAAGGGCTAACAGCGGGTCTTGCCCATCCGCTTTCGCTTTCGTCATCAAGTTCTTGCAGGTCTTCACGGCATTCTCGGCGCGGCCATTTGACTGGGGGTAACGGGGGCTCGAAGTTCTATGTTCAAACTGCCATTCTCTCACGAATGCACTGAACACTGATGACGTAAACTGAGGTCCGTTGTCGGTAATAAGCACGTCTGGTATCCCGTGGCGGGCGAATTGTACTTTACATGCAGCTATCACGCTAGCAGATGTGGCCACCTTAACCTCCTGGACTTCAAAGAACCCACTCCAGTAGTCGACTAGGACAAAGAAATGTTGTTGCCCAAGGTCAAAAAAATCGGCACCTAGCATCGACCAGGGACGCAACGGGATTGGATACGGTTGCAATTCCTCGCGGCACTGATCTGGCTGGTATGACTGGCAGATTGAGCATTTGGAAACAAAGTCCTTTACTTCCGAATTCATGAGGGGCCAATAGAGGACCTCCCTAGCGCGACGTAAACACCCTTCGATTCCAATATGTGATCGGTGAATTTGCTTCAACATTTCTTTTCTCAGGGAAGGGGTACCAGCAATCGCTCCCCCAGGAATACTAGTCCCTTGTCTTCTATAAGCTCACTTCGTTTGTCATAGTAAGGCGTCAGCTCAGGGGTACAGGACTTCCTTGACACTGGCCATTCACCCTTGATTGCTCCGATTAGCTTTTGCATCACTGGGTCCCTGGCAATCTCGTTTCTGAATTCAGCGAGCCTGTATGGTGCAATCGAGAGGTTTTCTGAATGATCTATCTCGGCAAGTGTACAGATCAGACTTGTATCGTGCTTGGAGGCTTCGGTGGTGTTGCGGTATGCTCGACTCAGTGCATCTGATACCCACATAAGTTCCCCTTTTTTATACTGCACATCCAGGGAGTAATTCTGAAGGGCCATCAGCATTCTCTGGAGTCTCTTTGGTGAGTTGTGTATTGGCTTGGTAAAAACTGCCCTTAGTGGTTCGTGGTCAGACTCGATGTGTACAACTTCACGTCCCAGTATGTATTGATTGAACTTGTCGGTTGACCACACTATGGCGAGGAGCTCTTTCTCGATTTGAGCGTAACGCGTTTCGGTGTCGGTCAGAGCTCGCGAGGCAAAGGCAACGGGCTGACCCTTTTGCATCAGTACTGCACCTAGACCCGTTATGCTGGCGTCGCATTGGATTGTCACTTCTTCAGTAACATCATAGTATTTCAGTACCGGGGCCTTGGCCAAGTATTCTTTGACTGTGGTAAATGCTTTCTCATGCTGTGCAAGCCAACACCACTTGACGTCCTTGTCCTCAAGCCTTCGCAAAGGTTCTGTCATGTCGGACAGGAGTGGCAAGAATTTGGCCAGATAATTGACCATCCCCAAAAACCTCTTCAGGCCTTTCACATCAGTCGGCGGTGGCATATCCAAAATAGCTTCAACTTTGGCTGGGTCTGCCTTTAGACCATCAGGAGTCAAGAGGTGGCCCATGAAACGCACTTCGGTTTGAGATCTTTTCAGCTTGAGTTTGTTGAGCTTGAGGTTCCACTCCCGGCATTTCTTGAAGAACGCACGTTCGTTCTTTTCAAGGCTCGAGTTGACCTCTGCGTCAGTTTCGCCAAATCCAGCGATGAGGAAGTCGTCAGCGATAACTTCAACTCCTTCTAAATTTTCTACGAATTCATGCATGTGTCGCTGCCAAACTTCAGGCGCACTTGAGATACCAAAAGGCATGCGGGCCCATCTATAACGCCCAAAAGGCGTATTGAACGTTGTCAGGAAACTAGAAGCATCGTCTAAGAGGATTTGGTGGAAACCATCCTTGGCGTCACAAAGAGTAAATTTCTTGGCACCTGTTAAGCGGGAGGCCACTTCATCGATAGTCGGCAACTGGTAATGCTCTTGCCGAATGGCACGATTTAAATCTCTCGGGTCAATACAGATGCGTACTTTGTTTGGCTTCACTATGGCCAACATGCTGGATACCCACTGCGTCGGTTCTGTTACTGGAATAATAACTTTACGATCAACAAGTTCATCCAGCTTGTTTTTGATGCATGGACGCAAGGCTACTGGCACTCGCCTCGGTGCGTGGACAACTGGTTGCGCCTGTTCGTCTATGGCTATTTTGTATGTTCCCGGTAGGGCCCCTAATCCGTCGAATACATCCTCATACTCTTCGAGCAAGGAGGCTTTGGGACACTTGACGTGTAATGCTAGGACGTCACAATTATGCAAACTCACAAAGCCAAGATTGAGGCTGGTGTTCAATGATAAAATCGGTTGATAGTCTCCGTCTAAGATGTTAAACTCCATTGACCTCTGCTGTCCACGGGACCACACAGGCAGGGTAGCTTTACCAACAATTTTGTGACGATCCCCTGTGTACGAGACTATTTCCTTTTGGCATGGTTTGAGGCGATGAAGGAGGGTGTCCCCAGTGATTTGCTTGTATAATTGGGCCGGGAGAATGTCGCACTGCGACCCAGTATCTATTTGAAACTGGACTTCTGTCTTGAGATCTGGCCCATAAATGTGGAGTTTGACCACTGCCAATTTTTCCTGGCCTTTGCTCTTACTAGTAGTAGCACCAATGTAGTAGGGGTCGTTTCCCATGTCAACGGCTTCATGGACCGCCGAAACTCTACTTTTCACTCCTCGGGGATTAGCGGGACATTTATTCGCAAAATGATTCATACTCCCACAGTTAAAACATGTTCTTCCATACGCGGGACAATGACGTCCATGCACCATTCCGCAATTTCCACATTCTTTAGACGGTCTTCTAAATGCTTGTGACTTAAGTTGTCGTTCTTCTTCAGGTTTTTCTGCCGATCCCGCCTTCCGTAACGCATGAACTGCAGTGTCTCCTCCAGCCATTAGCTTTACTTGCTGTTGGGTCTGTTCTGACGACTTAATAATGTCAACTGCTTGTAGGAGAGATAAATCATTCAAACGGAGAAGTCTCTCGCGGACGCGATCATCCCGTATGCCTAGCACGAGGCGGTCACGCAAAATTTCATCTGGTGTGATTGTATCGTGTGCACAGTTTTTTGCGATCGTTCGAAGCTCCGTAAGATACGTCGAGATGTTTTCACCTGGTTCCTGGTTTCGGTTGTTGAACCTATAGCGTTCATATATGACCTGTGTCCTAGGAATGCAGAATTCGTTGAACTTCTTCAGGACTTGTGAAATGTCGTCTGTGTTTTCGTCTTCGTTCCAAATAAAGGTATCGTGGGCTCTGACGCCATCCTCGCCTATATAATGCTTATTAATGTCGACACACGAACTATGCCCTCTTGTTTATATACACCAGTAGCGATTTCGTAGCGCTGCCACGCTGCTTTCCACGATTTCCATGCGGTGGCTAAATTGTCGTCAAAATTAAGCGCTTTCGGTGGGGGCAAATTTGACGGGGGAATAAAAACTTGAGTTGGCGCTGGTGGCACAACTATGGATGCTTCAGCTGCTTCTGTCATCTTTAGGGGTGAACAGATCCCACTCCTGACACCATGTCACGATTCTGTGAACTCAAAAGGGTTGTTTATTGTGCAAACTCGACTACTGCCACGTGTGTATTCGTTGTCTGCTAAGTCTTCTAAATATAAAGATGTTCATCGGCCCAGTGGCGTGACCGTGTAACGCAATATCACGACAAAAATGTCATGCATTTTTGTCGTAGTTTTATTCATGCAGGTTGGTAATGACAGAGTGGCTGGTAACAGAAGTTGTTTCAGTTCTCCAATTTTGGGATCCTGTACAATTCTGTATATCAGACCATGCTCTCTTGTAATTCTGTCCCACTGTTGTAACAGGGTGACACACTGGTGAGAAAGTTTTTTCCTCTCTGCAAGGGTAGGTTTCATGCCTTTCTCCCAAAACTTCAGAAATTCCTTAATTGTAGGGTCTGCCTTTTGCATGGTGATAAGTTCTGCCTTTGTCAGAGTGGGGAATGATGTTGTAGCAATCACTGTATCATCTCTAGGTAACTTTTTATCTTTATCTGATGATGGGTTGGTTGTGGATAAATTATGGTCTGGTTCATGTACGGCCATTTGTCTCACTTCTATTGAGATAGGTGTTGTTACAAGTGCATGACTCAAGTCAGGTGGTACAGAGGTTGCCATGGCGACTATGGACTCTATATGTAATAGCTCATCTTCCTTTGGTTCATCTGTTTCATCTGGCACTGGTCCATGAGGTTGATGTGATAAAGTGTCAGCGTTTGCATTTGATTTTCCACTCCTATAATTGATAGTGAAGTCAAATAAAGTGAGCTGAGCATCCCATTGTTGTTCTAAAGCACCAAGCTTGGCAGTTGTTTGCAAGTACTTCAAGGGGTTGTTGTCAGTGAAGACTTCAAATTTTAAACCAAGTAGGTAGGTCTGGAATTTCTCAGTTACTGCCCACTTTAGGGCTAACAATTCAAGCTTCATAGAGCTGTAAGCTCTCAGGTTATTCTCACTTGGCCTCAGTCTTTTACTTGTGTAGGCAATGACTTTGCACTGACCATCCTGGTCTCAGGACAGGACTACTCCAAGTCCAACATGGCTGGCATCTGTTTCCACAATAAATGGTTTGTTGTAGTCTGCAAAACCTAACAATGGTGCATGTGTCAACTTTGTCTTCAATGTATTAGCTTGTGCCAACAGTTGTTCACTAATTGGTGTAGTGGTCCAGCAATCTTGCAGTCTTTGACAAATCTTTGATAATTTCTGCAGAATCCAAGAAATGATTTAACTTCCTTGACAGTCGTTGATGGTTTCCAATCGGGTACAGCTCGGGTCTTGTCTATTGTAATACCATCAGATGAGATCTGGTGACCAACATAAGTGACTTTGAACTGAAGGAATTTACACTTCTCTGGTTTGAGCTTTAGGCCATGTTTTCAGAGCTTTGTGAAGACCCTGTCAAGTCTCTCAATGTGTTCATCCAAGGTATTAGAGTATAGGTATTGTTTACAATGATGTCATCTAAGTACATGAGCAATATTTGAAATATGTAATCATTCAAACAAGTCGGCATAAGCCTTTAGAAGGTTGCAGGACTTGGTCATTCCCAAGGGCATCCTGTTGTATTAAAAAATTCCAAACGGTGTTGTGAAAGCGGTCTTCTGTCGGTCCTCTTCATCCATAACAACTTGATTGAACCCACTTGTTAGATCCATTGTTGAGGACAATTTTGCATTACTGATGGCATCGATGAACTCTTTGACTCTTGGTAATCTGAACTGATCTCTGATTGTCTTGGCATTGAGACGTCTGTAATCAATGCATAGCCTCAAGGAACCATTCCTTTTTTCTAACTAGCACAATAGGGGCAGCACAAGGACTGTGACTTTCTTAAATGATACCATTATCCTGAAGCTTTCATATGTGATCCTTTGCCTCTTAAAACTTGTTTGGTGGGATTCTCTGGTAAGGCTATGGGACTGGCACTTAATGTATGGTTGGGATCTTGTGTTTGACTGTCTCTGTATATCCAAGGTCATTTCATCCTTTGTGAAGACACTTGCATGCTTCTGAAACAGGCCCTCAAGGTTTTTCTTTTGTTTATGAGTACATTTTACATCTGAGAAATCAATTGGGCACACAAAGGGCTGTTCTTGCTTGTTGTCTGTAGTGGATTCTCTGACAAACACCATGTTTTTAGTATCCTCAACATCTTTAATCTTGTGTAGTACTCCTATCAGTGTGTGGGGTTGAAGCTAAACATCTTCATCAGTAATATCAACGACTCTTACATGGAGCTGTCCATAATTTATGTGAGTAAGAGTATTGATGACAACAAGGTTTCTGGCACTTCTCCATTCAATGGTTCCACAAGGGCAGCAGTGTTTCTTGTTTGGGGTCACTGCCATCCATTGATTCTAACAACAGATCCAGCTGGGATTCTAATCTGGGACTTGCCAGCTACTTTTGCAAAACCATGGACTGAGATGGACTTGGTACTAGATGTAATCTCCGATGATTTGCTCCATTGAGGGGAAATTTCTGCTTTTCCATTCTTAAAAGGTTCGTGCAGTTGGGCAATTATGTTCATCCCTATTAGTCCAGGGATAATCTTGTGTTGCCTGGCCTTTTGACTGGCTGGACTCTTCACAACTAAAATTCCTCTTCATGGGATCATGACTCCCAAGGCTTCAATGTCCAGTTCTAGGTATCCAGCATATGGTATTGCTAGTCCATTTGCTGCAGTTAATCTCAACCAACCGCCAGTAGGTAAAACAGGTTTTCCTTGGGGGCAAAAGTGGTCATTGAAAAATTCTTCTGTAATTGGGGATACTTCAGATCCTGAGTCTAAAAGGCAAGGTATGTCTACTCCACCGAATCATACTGTGACCACCGGGCACTTTCCAACTGCTTTTTCGTATACTGTTGACATATCCATAGAGCCATTGCTCTCCCCTCCTGTCACTTGGCTCTTTATGACATGGGGAGTTAGTACTTTGGAAAACCCAAATTGCAGTTGTTTTAGAGGAACAGTTAAGAACAGGTCTTTCCGCTCTTCAATGTCTGTCTCTCCTACATCCTCTGCCATTGTTCCAACATCCTCCCCACTACCCTCCGCCTGGCATGGTATGGTCCATCCATGTTTCGCGGAACTCTTGCTCTCTATTTCGTCGAATGCTAAATTGTAGGTCTGCTTGATTCGCCCTCCCCTCGTTATCGTTTCCCTGTTCTCTTAATATGGCAACAAATGTTTGGAATTCAGGTTCACCCTGTGAAATATAAAGTAAAGATATCAAATTAATACTTCAAAACTTGGGCGAAAAACAACGATGACAATGTAAGCCATAGCAACAAATATTTGTGTTGTGCAGTTTAAATTTTAGAAAATTAAGCTAACTAATATCATTGTCATGAAATTTGTAACACCATAAAAAAGAGTACTTAACTTTTTTTACTCCAACGAAGGGCGAAAGCTTGAACGTCAGTGCAATTAAGTAGTCTTTTTTACAGTGTTACAAATTTCCTTTAAATATTGGTTATTCTATTACACACACCGACACAGCCTAGACTAGTTTATTCGCTAGTTTTTATTTCATGAATAAGTAGATATTACTTACGTTTCCTGCGTTCCAAAGAATACTATTGGATACTTGTTGGATGGATACTGGATGGTTCCATTAACTCCCGCCGGCCAATAGGGAAATCCACATACTTTTGCGAATACTAAGTCTCCTTCATTAAATTAATGAGATGACGACATGGTTGTTGTATGTTTTAACTTGAGCTGTGTTAGCTTTTATGGTGCACTGAGACTGAATGGATAATGCTGCTTTATGCTGCTTTATGCTTCAAGTGGGCGGAGCTCTTCTCTGTGATTGGCAAGGTACATCTACTCCACGGAATCGTACTGTGACCACTGGGCACTTTCCAACTGCTTTTTCATATACTGTTGACATATTCATATTTGAGCCATTGCTGTCCCCTCCTGTCACTTGGCTCCTTATGAAATGGGGAGTTAGTTTGGTGACTTGTCAGGGGTGCGGTTTACCTTGTGGTGGGCCTCTCCTGACAGCTGGGTTGTCCTTAGCCCGGCAGTTCCTAGCAATGTGTCCATTCTTGTTGCATTTGAAGCAAACAATATAATAACGCTATCCACTCCATTCCTTGGCTGAGTGTTGGGTCCTTGGCTGCTTAAGGTCTCTAATTGAACACGTCAGTTCTTCTAAGGGCTTCTGTTGCTTTAGAGGGACATCCAAAACCTTATCCAAAGGGGTGGTGGTGGAACTAGCATGGCACTGAGAGCTTTCAGGTGTGGCAACTGATACTTCTTGAATCTAGGCATGACTCACTGTGGTCTCTTCTCCTCTTCTGACCAGTGTAGTGCCTCCTCCCTCAAATCCAAGAATGAGGGGTTACACTTCCTGATGAACCTCTTCAGTTCTTTTTGAAGGAAAGGATCCCTCACATTGTCTGCAAAACGGTCTTGCAGAGTCTTCTCTGGGTCAGGGGCTGTCTTTGGATCTGCTTTTGTAGCATTCTTGAGTAGTTCATTAAAGGAATACGGGTATGCTTGAAGTTTTTCACTCTCCTTCTGCCTCTGCTCGTAGAAGAGCTTTAGGAATTGGGAGCTTGAACGTTTCTCCCCAAATGCCTGAGCAAGAACATCCAGGAGAAAGTCTGGGTTACTTCTATCCTTCTTGCTGTACATTTGCACCTCTTTCTTGGCTGGCCCTTCCAGATGAGACATTATGGAAGCCATTTCTCTCGCCTCAAAGGTAGTTTTCACTTCCATGATGGAGCTAGACCACTCCTTAAATGGGTAGTTATCCTGTGGGTATTTTTTTCAATATGGTGGCCTTCAAGCACGCAAAGGCTTCTGGATTGAGAAGTGAAGGGATCAGGAGCTAAACATGGTTTATTTTAAGCGGGATCTTAGCAACCTGGTGACAATAGGGTAATAAATGGTGCCTTTCTATTTGCTCCCTTGGGCAAATATGTGAATTTAGCTAAGGCTGAGCCACTTCACAACACCAACAATGCCTGGCAGCAGTGGTTTTCAGCTCTCCTGACAATGGCCATGCAGTACACTGACCAAGCTAAACTCCACACAGCAACAGTGGTTTTAGATCTTCCCAACTCTTCACCACTTATTACATTTCTAAAGTGTGTGTGGGAAACTGTGAAGTGTGGAAGGCCGTGCAACAGCCTCAATAGGTGGTTCAGTGGAAAGAGAAAGAAGGGAATTTCTTTCTCTTATAGATTCACTGGCCTGGAATCTAAGAGGTTTTTTTTTTTCAAGGAACTCTTGCGAATAGAAAAATTTTCAAGAGGGTCTGCTTTAAAACTGCACTGTTAGGTGGAGTTAGTTCAAGTGTGTGGACCTTGGGCTATGCTATAACATACCACATCAATCAGCTCTTTAACAAGCTTGGGTTTAGGCTTGGCCTAAACTCTATGCAGGGTTGAGAGGCTAAACATATCAAGCTGACCAAGTATATTGAGAAGACCTGTAATGTAAAGAAAAGTATGAGGTGTTGGATTGTGTTCTGCCATGAGTTTGTATGTCTCATTTGGCTCAGAGAGATGGACCTGGCAGGAGAAGAAGAAGGGTTGTGATTCCTACATACCTAAGAGGGTTACCAACAATGATACCAGATTTTGTTATTGTGGTCTTCCAAAGTTAAATGTAGATGAAAAAGGTTGCACAGTATGCACAAGCAGTGAGATGCAACTAGTCAAGCAAAGTGTTGCAACTGGGAAAGTTATCACTGAGCTTCAGCTGTATTTTAAATAACATTGGTGTAATATATATGAAGAGATGCTGGATTGTTATTTTTCAGTGCTGTAATTTGATTTTGATCATGTGCTATATGTTCAAAGGAACATCCCAGCTCCTGTTATATATTATTATAAATAAGAAATGGAATCAATTTTTAAAAATAGAAACAATGTCAATATTAGAAAGGGAAAAACCATTACTTATA